TATCCGACTCAGACTTATACATTTTAGCAAGTCTACTTGGAGTAAGATACTATCTGTAAATCATTTTCAGATATTTCGCCTTCAAAGAATAATATGCTGTGAACTTCAAATCACTCTTCCAAAGTTTTCCCAGAGATTTAAATCTATATTATGTTCTATATCTACTTTTTCATTGTGTTTAGCATTGCAAGCAAAGTTAATTAAATTGCACAATACTTGAATAGGCAGTCACTCCATGTGCTGTATTTAGAACACCGGCTTTTTCCAGCTGTAGTTATGCCAATAGAACTGAATAAATGAACTGCCATGAGAAAATGATCACAGATAGTAAAGGGTATTTCTGCAATAACACTCCTTCCTTCTGGTATGGCATTTTGACTTCATGGTGTAGATCAGTCTTCCCCAACGATGTGCCCTCCAGTGTTTTGGACCACAATTCTTACTATGCTTCACTAATGGCCATGCGGTGGTACCTCGGGTTACATACGCTTCAGGTTACATACGCTTCAGATTACAGACTCCGCTAACCCAGAAAAAGTGCTTCAGGTTAAGAACTTTGCTTCAGGATAAGAACAGAAATTGTGCTCCGGCGGCGCAGCAGCAGCAGGAGGCCCCATTAGCTAAAGTGGTGCGTCAGGTTAAGAACAGTTTCAGGTTAAGAACGGACCTCCGGAACGAATTAAGTACTTAACCTGAGGTACCACTGTACTGACTTGGGCTGATGGGAACTGTAGTCTAAAACATTGGGGAGAAGAAGAAGAAGAAGAAGAGGAGGAGGAGTTTGGATTTGATATCCCACTTTATCACTACTCGAAGGAGTCTCAAAGCGGCTAACATTCTCCTTTCCCTTCCTCCCCCACAGCAAACACTCTGTGAGGTGAGTGAGGCTGAGAGACTTCAGAGAAGTGTGACTGGCCCAAGGTCACCCAGCAGCTGCATGTGGAGGAGCAGAGACGTGAACCCGGTTCACCAGATTACGAGTCTACCGCTCTTAACCACTACACCTCACTAGCTCTCAGCCAGGTTGGGGGAAGATAGTATAGATTCACATTAGAAGTGCTTTCTAACCTTAACAAGTGTTCAGTGCCAGGTTTGGGGAGGCCCTTAGACAACATGCTCTCAGTCTAAACCAGCATCAGCACCTGGCACCTTGGGGAAGCTGTCAAGATATCAGTGCCTTGTCAGGGTCCCCTGCTGATGCCTATCCTGTCCTGTCCTGTCCTGTCCTGCCCTCCCCTTCCTTTTTCTGGTTCTAGCCACCCTTTCAACTTTCCACAATGCCCCCAATCTTGGCAGCCCATCTAGTTCGGCATCCTTTTCACAGTGACCAACCAGATGTTTCTGGGATGCCTGCAAGAAGGGACTGAGCACAACAGCTTACACGGGTCAGCAAACGTTTTCAGCAGGGGGCTGGTCCACTGTCCCTTACACCTTGTGGGGGGCCAGACTATATTTTTTTGGGGGGAGAGGAAATGAACAAATTCCTATGCCCCACAAATAACCCAGAGATGGATTTTAAATAAAAGCACACATGCTACTCATGTAAAAACAACAGGCAGGCCCCACAAATAACCCAGAGATGCATTTTCAATAAAAGGACACATTCTACTCATACATACCATCTTCGAGGGAGAACAAGATGAGTGGAGATTGCTACTCATTCTCATACCTCTCTCTCTGCTTGTTCCCTCACAGAAGGGAAGCAGTCACAAAGAGAGGATAAAGGAAACTTCAGGGACTGACTATGCCCCCCATCCCGGGAGTGGGCTGAAGTTTGTAACCAAAAATACAACACTCTGAAAGAGCTGGTGCAGTGTGTTGCTCAAAGTGAGAAAGTAAGCCCTTGGTTCAAATTTTGCCTGTCATTAATTCCAGAGGTGGCCTTAAGCAGCCTTCTTTCTTTCAGCCTCTGCCGCCTCTGGTCTCTGAGCTGCTCCCGACGCCTCTTAGAAAATAAGAACCCTCCTGGATCAGACCAAATCTAGTCCCACATTCTCCTATCACATTGACCAACCTGATGTCTATGGGAAGCCCATGAGGGCACAAGTGCAACAGCACAAGATGTAATAATTTCTAAAAGAATGTTAAAATACTATATTATAAATTGTAAACATTTAGGATTGTTAAACTGGTGCTCCTATAGTATACAACCAGTGGGCTTTGGACTGCCTTGTACTAGTCCCCAAGGCAAAGAAAATATAGATATTTAATATTTCAGACTTTATTTTGTAATATATAGATTCTACCCAAAGTGACAATAAAAATAGAGGGTTTCGGTTTGTATGTTCCAACATTTAATCAGCAGCTAAGAAAAGCACTTTTACTAGCTATGATGTTTTCTAACTTGTTTTCCAAGTCTTGGAAATTTGGTTGTGAACCATTAATCTAATGGGGAACATTCTGGTGTTAAAAGCATGGAATCCTAAGTTCAAATTCCAGCTTCAACAGATGGTTTTGGCTATTCTTTTCTTCTTTAGACTCAATTTCCCACCTGAAAAACAGTCTACTTATTTACAAGTATCCATAATCCATTTTTGTGGAAACATCTGAAGGAACGCAGTAAAATCAGCCTTTTAAAAAAAAGTGTGTTGGAAATAATGTTGACTAGAACAACCAGTGGTTATATCTAGGTCAGCATGTAGCATCCTCACTCTCTGTGTCAGAATTATCTATACAGGATCAAAAATGCAACCTCTAATTGAGAGACATGATCAACAGGAGGTGACTCACTTTATAATTGCTATGTATGTTCATGTATACTTCCAATGAAGTATTTAAGTCACTGTCACTAAACATGATATAAATTGATAGGCTGTTGGTTTTTCATGCAAAACTTGATCACGTATGTGACTTTGCTTTTGAATAACAAGCCCATTACTGAGAGTGATTTCAAATAAGTGATCTAGATCATTCCATACCATCTTTGCTCTTAATACAACCTGAAAAGATGTGTGTCTATAAACATAGGGTTTATAACCCTATAAATATAGGGTTTGTTGTCTTGACCCCATGGCCCTGGGTGAACAACCAGCAACCATTTGGATTAGGGTTGCCTCTTCTCAGATTTTATCTCTGAAATTATTAGTGTATTTGTCCACATGAACTTCAGTTAAACTTTCCTCCAGCATTAAGGAAGCATTTAGGTCAGGGGAGGCAAACTTAAGGCCCAATCACCTTCTAAATCCGGCCAGCAGACAGTCCGGGAATCAGCGTGTTTTTACATGAGTAGAATGTGTCCCTTTATTTAAAATGCATCTCTGGGTTATTTGTTGGGCCTGCCTGGTGTTTTTACATGAGTAGAATGTGTCCTTTTATTTAAAATGCATCTCTGGGTTATTTGTGGGACATAGGAATTCGTTCATCCCCCCACCCCCCAAAAAAATATAGTCCGGCCCCACACAAGGCCTGAGGGAAGGTGGACCAGCCCCTGCTGAAAAAGTTTGCTGAACCCTGATTTAGGTAGAGATATTTCTGGAGACAAACTGTGTGAGGCAGTGGAAGACAGGAGTGCCTGGTGTGCTCTGGTCCATGGGGTCACGAAGAGTCGGACATGACTAAACAAATTTCTGAAGACAAACAAATGCAATAGGAGGAGGAGGATAGTAGTACAGTGGTAACTCTGGATGCGCACACTTCTGGTTGTGTATCTTTCGGGTTACGCATGCGGCAAACCCAGAAGTATTTTTCCAGGTTTCACCCTGCACGCATGCGCAGAAGCGCTCTACCATGCAGTGCACATGCGCAGAACAGGCACCTCCAGTTGTGAATTCCTTGGGATCTGACCGGAGCTCCGGAACGGATCCCGTGCGCAACCAGTGGTACCACTGTAAATTATTCTGTAGGAATACAATGCTTAGTGACATTTTATCATCCCATGTGAAAACTGGAAAAAAAATTATGACTCTAATGACCATTAGAAATGAATGACCCATTTGCCAACGCCACATTTAATAGTTAAAATAACACTGGATACCACTATGGCTGCAATAACTTGTCCAATGGCATTGGACATGAACATATAAAACATTAAAACTAGATTAATCACTTGAATAAAGACATCTTACAGTGCAATCCTATATACATCTACTCAGAAGTAAGTCCACTGAGTTCAATGGGAATTACTCCAAGGAAACTAGGTATAGAATTGAGCCTTGTCGCTTCGGTAGGACTTACTTCCAAGTAGGCATGGCTAGTTTTGTGCTATGAGTTGAGCAACTAATTACTGTATTTTTCCATGTATAAGACTAGGTTTTTCCCCTAAAAAATAATTTCAAAAATTAGGGGGTGTCTTATACTCTGGGCCATCTCCCCCCATTTTCTTAAATCTGAGTCCCCCAAAATAGGAGGCGTCTTATACATGGGGGCGTCTTATAGACGGAAAAATATGATATATGAGCTTCGATCATTTAATCCATTTTTGTAATTTTATATATACACAACAACTGGCATGAAGGAAAAACGCCTATTTATGGAAGAAACTGAGAAAGGGGTAAAAGTCAACCTCCCCCAAGTTTCACAGAGATATTTTATAAATACGGCATTAGGTTAAGTTCTGGTTAACTACAATAACATATTTGGGGGGTCGTGTATACAAGTTCTTTCTTTTGTTCTGTTCTCTTTTCCACTATTTTTTAAAATTCTTTTTGTGTGTGTGTCTTCTCTTACTCTGCACCCTTGTGACAGTGCACTTTTAATTTTTTCAATAAAGAATATAAAATAAGTTTCACAGATATATGCATCAGAACTGAAAACGTACATACACAGATAAGCAAGCAAAGCCCTGGCCTAAAAATGTAGTGTTAAGCTCAAGTATAAAAGGCAAGCGTTTAAGCACAGTAGACACCCAGCCTAAAACAAAACCCTGCACCTTTATAGTTAAAAAACGCACACCTAAATAAATAAATAAATCCTTTATACCCCGCCCACCTGGCTGAGTCTCCCCAGCCACTCTCAACTCTCTTTTACTAGGCAGCTAGGCTGCAATCTTATTACATACTCACCGGGCGTAAATCCCATTGTGGGCCTTACTCGTGAGTAAGCATGCATACGGTCGGACTGAACTGACACACAGCTCAAGGAAAGCTCTCACCCTGTCATGTAAAGCCCCACTGTGGGCCTCACTCCCACAGCGAGGAGCGCCTATACGAATGCAGGCAAAGGCATAACACACCTAGATAGATGGACATATAAATAGATAAATAAAGAAAATCCTAAGAAGAAAGCGCGGAGGAGTTTCACCAGCCCTCCCCCTGATGAACTCCAGCTGGGCTCCAAACTAGCCTTACAGGCCCGGCGTTGCTGGGCAACGGCGGAGAAGATGGGAGGGGGGAGTTCCGAGCGCGGAGGAGGAGGACGCCGTTTTGAAACCAACGCTTTTAAGCGCGGCGTGTCTCCCGTCGGCTTCCGTCCCAGATGCTCCCTCCTCCTCCCCCGCCCCTCCCCTCCGTCGCCTCCATCTCAAGCCGTCGCTAGTGGCGTAGCCGGGTCTTGTTCGGGAGCCGCGTCAGCCGCCGCGGAGTCGCCTAGCTGCTCGCCGCGCCGGGTGGTGAGCGGGAAGCCGGTCCGTGAGGGGAGGGGAAGGGAGAAAGAGAGAGAGAGAGAGCCATGGGGGAAGAAGCGTCCCGCCGTCGCCGCCGCTGAGAGAGGCGCCCGGGCCCGCTCTGCTCTGGCTGCTGGAGCCATGGACAAAGCCGTCGGCGGCCAGGTAGGGAGGAGTCCGGCGAAGGAGCCCGCCGTGCAGCGCCCGACCCCCGGCTGAGGGTTGCTAGGCAACGGGGGGAGGGGTGGCCCGCAAACCAACCCCCCCAAAATCCTGGGAGGAAGTCCCTTGAGGCAGCTGTGCCTAGGGGTTAGTGGCTGAGGGGTGCCTAAGTAAAGAGGAGGGGGCGGCGGCTGAAATGGTGAGGGGCTTAAATAACGCCCTGCCTAATCCTGGGAAGAAGTCCTTTGAGGCAGCTGTGCCTAGGGGTTAGCGGCTGAGAGGTGCCTAAGTAAAGAGGAGGGGGCGGCGGCGGCTGAAAGGGTGAGGGGCTTAAATAAAGCCCCGGCCTTCTAAATCTCAGGCGTCCCCTCTGCGCCTCCTGTGCTTTTGTTTTGGTTTCTCAACCTGGGCTTTTTAACTTCGGGGGCGTTAAATGACTTGTAGCACTTGCTTATGGGGAGTCGCCCGAAGAACTCGTCTGCTGTGGAGGCGGCGTACAAATGCCACCGACACGTAAACAAACCGAGAGGGTGCTTCGTGTCGCGGTAGTAATAATAATAATAATAATCGGGGACGGGGGGGGAGAGCGGCAGTGGGAGTTATGGGGCTTGAGCCCTAGACGCGGGTGGGATCGGGCCCGAGGGGAATTAGGCGAGGTTGCCAGGGCAGTGAGGGATTTAAAGGGATTTGTTGAAGCTCTGGGAGAAGGAGCTTGTTTATACAACGCTCTCACTCTTGACATCCGTAGGGTGTTCTTTATAAGTTTTAATAAGCAAAGGATATATGTAGATTGTTTCCTCTCTCCCCCCCCCTCCCCGCATTCTAAATTCTGCAGCAAGGAATCTAAATTCTGGAGCAAGAAAGCAAAGGCAAAGCTAGCAGGCGTTGAACATGGGCCACTGGTGTTATGGGTGTGGGGGGTGTTGAAGATTAAATCGCCAGCTATCTGAATGGTGCTGGTTTCCGTAGCAGTAATACATTAAAGTATGCTTCTGTATGGTGTTGTGGTTAGTGTCGAACTGCAACCTCTGAGACTTAAGAGTTAAAACCCCCACTAAGCTTGAAACTCCCTTTGTGACCTTGGGGCCACTGCCTCTCTCAGCCTAACTCACCTCATAGGGAATTTGTGAGGATAAAAGTAGCTCCATGGATAGAAATTTCAGGGCTTCAAGACACTTTTGCTATGCATTGTTTCAGTAACTCCTGAAACATTTCTGCGTGACACTCCAGTATTTTTCTTATTGCAAAGTACTGGGGAGGCTGGCCAAGGATGGAAGAATATAGTGGCTTGTCTAATGCCACCTAGTGAATTTTGAACTGGGAACTTACTTTCCGTGCTTTATCAGTGGGAAGGGAAGGATGATAATGCTGACAAATTATCAAATTGCCAGTCTTGGCAGGAAAAACCTGGATTAGCAAATAGAGTAGAACTTGGCTATAGTCTTGCAATGCGAAAAGGAATGAGGTCAGAAGGAGGAATGGGACAGAAAGTGCATCTCTCCCCAGGTTTTTCTTTGAGGCTAAAATCATTGTCAGTGACTGACTTGAGGGTTGGATATCCTTCACCTCCTCTTCAAAGTAGACTTAATTTTCCAATAAAGCTGAACTGCGATCAGCAACAGGTATTCCTTCGCCTCACTTTCCAGTTTGAGGCAAGTGGGGAAGTCAGATTGCTTTTAGAGAGAGATTTGTCCCTGAGAATTTCAGGTATTACTGTACTTCTAACTATATGTATCTCACATTTACATGTAAATGAAGCACCAACACGCTTGATTAAAAGCGAAAGGCTTTGATTTTGAGTTGAGGGAGTGTCTACTTAAACCTTTCCTTACCAACTGATTCTTATATCAGTATTGTGCTTCTCTCCTCCAGCCCCATCCCTTCCCCTCCTCAGGGTTCCTAAGTATCAACATATGTCTGGAATTCTTTGCAGGGAGAACAGCTGGTAGAGTGGAAAAACAGTTGGAAGGAGAAGAGTTAAGCATCCCTTGCTTAAAATTGCTGCCTCTTAAAGTTGCTTGATTTAAAACACCACCACCACCACCACCATTGGGGCTTCATTGCACACACTTATTTCTTTTGTTTGTAATGTTTAATTTGACCCATTAGCAGAGGTTAAACACATTGTGGATGCATTCAGACAGCTTTTAAAATTAAGATATTAAAAAAACATTTTGCCTTTGTAACAACAACCTAGTTGCATTTTTAAGCTAGTAATGTGTACATAACCATAGTTTCCCATTTCACCTGAACTGGAAAAATGAACTAGAAACCATGGTTAGAGATTTTCTAGTTTATCAGGCATGCAATGAAGAGGCTTTCTAAGTGGGCATGGTTTGTACGTAGTGGCCTGCTTCAGCTTATCTTGGCTAAATATGCTGCAATGACTCTTGCAAGACAAGAATTTAAACTTCTGTCCACAGAAGGTATCCTCTTTATAAATTTGTCTGACTAATATCAATCTTCAGTTTATTACGACTATCATTATTTTAATTACCTGCACTTCACCCTAAGGTCACAGGACAAGTTATATATGTGCTAAAAACAGTTTAAAACATAATCACAAAAATAAGGTGGGTCCTAAAAATACAGATTTCATGTACCAAAAACCAGGATAAAGAGGTGTGTCTTCAGCATTCACCCAAATTGTGTAATGAAGATGCCGGATGAATCTCTGTGGGGAAGAAGTTCCAAAACCTAGGGCCTACTACAGAGAAAGCCCTCTCTTAAACCACCTCCCCTGAGCTCCTGTGGAACAATCAAGAGGGCCCCCTCCGCTGATCTTAAAACTGGTGGAGGTCTGTAGAAAAGATACAGTATTTCAGGTATTGGGGGGTGGGGTTGAGTAAATTAGGGCTTTAAACACTTGTAATTGGCTTCAGAAACAAACTGGTAACTAGTGCAGCTGTTTTAAAATGGGTTCAGTGAGATCTAAGTCCAGAACCCCAGCTAGGAATTTGGCTGCTGCATTTTGGACCAGCTGAAGTTTGAGTCTTCAAGGGGAGCCCCACCTAAAGCACATTGCAATCATCCAATCTGACCTGGGATAGCTCAGTTGGTACAGCATGAGACTCTTACTCTCAAGGTCATGGTTTTGAGCCCCACGCTGGGCAGAAAGATTCCTGCATTGTAGGGGGTTGAACTAGATGATCCTTGGGGTCCCTTCCAACTCTACAGTGCAGGACCATACGCGATACAGCCAGCCTAGATGTCAGACCACAGATCTATGATCTGACCTAATATTAAGGTAAAGTAAAGGTACCCCTGCCCGTACGGGCCAGTCTTGACAGACTCTAGGGTTGTGCGCTCATCTCACTCTAGAGGCCGGGAGCCAGCGCTGTCCGCAGATACTTCCGGGTCACGTGGCCAGCGTGACAAGCTGCATCTGGCGAGCCAGCGCAGCACACGGAAACGCCGTTTACCTTCCCGCTAGAAAGCGGTCTCTATTTATCTACTTGCACCCGGGGTGCTTTCAAACTGCTAGGTTGGCAGGCGCTGGGACCGAATGACGGGAGTGCACCCCGCTGCGGGGATTCGAACCGCCGACCTTTCGATCGGCAAGTCCTAGGCGCTGAGGCTTTTACCCACAGCGCCACCCGCGTCCCATGACCTAATATTAGGCAGCAGCATGTTGCTAAATGTGAATATCTACCCAAAACAACAAAGTTGGTTTGGTCTGATCATTGCTGCTGTTATTAAAGATATGGCTGTTTGGGGTTACATATCTTTTGTTTTTAACAGGTCTTTTGTGTTGCCTGTAGTTTCCATGAATATTTTTTAAAATTGTTTCTGAAGGGAGAATGGTTACTAAACCACAGACATCACTCTTGTTGAGCAATCTGTTGTGGATTAATTAGTAGGAATTGTAATTAGCCTTCAGGTGACTTCATGAAATGGTTATTTCCTTGTTGCATTCTTCCAATACAGTGGTACCTCGGGTTAAGTACTTAATTCATTCCGGAGGTCCGTTCTTAACCTGAAACTGTTCTTAACCTGAAGCACCACTTTAGCTAATGGGGCCTCCTGCTGCTGCCACGCCGCCGGGGCACGATTTCTATTCTCATCCTGAAGCAAAGTTCTTAACGTGAGGTACTATTTCTGGGTTAGCGGAGTCTGTAACCTGAAGCGTATGTAACCAGAGGTACCACTGTATCTTCCTGTGTCTTCAGTTCATTGCATCCAGCCATTATCTGGATTTTAGTAACTAGGCATGGATAGCTGTAGAAGAGGAAGAAGATGACTTCAAGATAAAATAATAATTATTATTAGGTTCAAGGATAAGGTCTCATTCACAGGAGTGGTAGAGCCACTTGCTTGCAAAAGGCCGCAGCTTCATTCCCCAATGTTTCTAGACAAGACATGGAAAGGCTTCTCTAAAACCCCGAGGGGTTATTGCCAGTCAGCATAGGCAGTAGTAAGCTAGATAGACCAATGTCTGACTTGGTTAAAGACAGTTTTTCTGTGTTCCTTTAACATTTGCCTGACATTTTTCTTAAGGGGACGAGAAGGTGTGGGTGGGCATTGTGGGTTTTAGTCCTCTTAAAGTCATATGCTGCATAGTATTGTGCCAGGCAGCAGGTACATGCCTTCACAAGATATCGGTGTTAGAAACTCAAGATATATAAGCTAGGTGCCAAATGGCTCCTTAAACCAGGTTTACAGTTGCCAAATAACAAAATTAGGAAACAGATTGCAAAAAGTAGCTTGGTATCCTACCTTGTATCATGCATCACTTCAAAACAACTTGTTCTGTGCTTGAACCAATGGCACGATATGTTCCTTATGCTGCCACGTTGATTTAAAGGCATCACATTAAGACATGTTATGACTTAGCATGAATGCAGGGTCTCTAAAAGAGTAGATTGGGACCATTTTGCTCCTCCCTAGTCACTCTGCTACTGCACTGATGTGTGAACTAGGCCAGTGTCTAATCTTAGTAGCTCCTTTTCTTGGGAAGTATCTGTTCTAATGTAGAGTAAGCCTTGGCCTTTATGAAGTCATGG